AAAATTCAAAATTGAATTGAGAATGACTCCTGAATTCCAATTCAAAACAGGATCTAGAATTACAATTCGAATTTGAATTAAAGGAAGCAGAATAGCAATTCAATAAAAATTCATATACATATTTTAAGTGCCGTGTTAGCAATGAAGCTTCACAGTATATCTCAGATATTGCATTACATATTCATAACTACTTACATTAACAGCAAATGTTTTCCTCCAGCAATTAATGTTAAAAGTCTAGTCACAAAAATAATTAAGTTTGATTTATTGTAATTGTAATTTTGTGGAACATGATGGAACATGACTCAATTTCTCAAAATACTTATTTTAAAAAAAAAAAAAAAAAATTATATTTTTTAATAATATTACTTAATATTTGAAAAAAAAAAACTATTTGAGGGGGACATTTGTTTTTATATATACAGTATATATTTTAGAACAAAATGTATGCAGGGTTGAGGATGTATGCAAGGTTGAGGATGTGTAATTAAATTATGTTATTAAATTACAAAATGAATGTAATTGTATTTAGTTGTATTACTGAGGTAAAATGTGTAATTCAATTAGTTACTAATCAAATCAAAAGGAAATAAAGTAATCCAAATAAAATAATCCAAACCACATTTATAATGGGTGACTTATAACAGTGTGCAATTACATTACCATACTGTGTGGAATTTATTTGAATTGCCATGATTTTAATTCCACTTCCTGTCATTCCTATTCCAATTCAAATTCAATTAAATTTCGAATTCATGAATTGAATGCAGGCCAATTCTGAAATTCAGAATTTCACAAGCCTGAACCGTGTCGATCCGACTCTCAGTGGGCGGGGAGTGGGGATACAAAAACGTGCAAGTAAAATCTGTATTTTGTGAAATGGACTTTCTGAAGAAATAAACTGGAATTTCTCAGTCCAGCTAACACACAGAAATAGAAAAACACTGTTTATTTATATACTATCGTCATTGTACCAATACAAAGTGAGTTGAAAATCGGCAAACATACATTTTAATCTATATCTATACATTTGTGACTAAATGTGCAGTTACATTCATCATTGTTGGTCACATGGATTCGCTGACCAACAGAAATCTGCTTAGTTTGAAGGCGACTTCATACATCGCTACACTATTTTGACCTTTTTTGTCAGTGAAATTTCTCTCGTGACAACAAAAGAACATCACAGAGCAGTAAAATGCGTTTTATTCAAGACCAGGATCAGTTCTTTCTAAAGTGATGTTTCAATTGGTATTGATTGCTGTTTTTCTATTTAGTCATTTACTTTCCATCCTAGAGTTCAGATGTTCATTATATGTATGTGTATGATCAATTTCAACTTCAAAAGTCAACTTTATAATTTACTTCCATAATGTAATGCATTTCAGAGTAAAATTAATTTTTTTTAAAAAAGGGGAATTCATCAGGAATTGTTTGGATTCTAAAAGTTTTCTGTACATGACTATATAATATAATATATATAAATCCTACATATGATATTAAATCCTGTTCTTGCATATGGCATACATCACTGTGATGCTAAAAATGAGGCTGAAATGGCCTACAGTACACATCATGCAGTGAGACCAGCTGGGCAACTCTTCGCACACCAGTTAATCCTGCAAAGGAAGCAGTGCAAACTACAGCGCGTGGTTGAATCACGTTATAGTCTTACCTGGATGACTGCGATATGCCCCTGGCGAGTTGTCAAGAATGACTACACTTGATAAGTCATCATGTACAACGGACAGGTCTTTAATATAACTACCTGAATCCAGTGTACAGTGCTGCACAAGATAAAGAAACGGAGAGTATTGTTGAAATATATCCTTGACTAATTTCTGCCTTTTCCATATTTCTCATAGGAAAGGTTTAAGAACAATGAAAGGTAAAGAGTTTCAGTGGTTACCTGTCTGTAGTATCTTCTTTTTAGGATTCCCTTGTTGTTATCCAGCTTATCAGCTACTGCAGAGCCATAGATCTCCATACTAGCAGTGAAAACTACTAACTCATACCACTGACTGACCACCTCTAAGAAGAAGTCGACATGCGGCCTTTTATGTACAAAGAATCTGACTGGGTGTTTGTCTATTACCACCTGAAAAAAAAGACAGTTTACATGAGAAAATGACAGAGAAATTTGAGGGAAAATAACAGTTATTCATGATTAATCAAGAAGGGTTTTAATAATATTAATAATCAGGGCTGTACTTTGCAACATGTCACACATGCTATGAAAAATTGTTCTGCACGATGAAAACTTACCAAGACAGACCTGTGTGTTTGTATGAAACGAGAGCCATTTCATGCACATCATGTAATATAAATACATTCGCGCAATGACGTAGCTACTGCTTAAAGCTTACTGACACATTATTAGAGAACATATTAAGCGGTGAAAAATAACTCAAAACGGTACATGTTACAACAATATTATAGCAGTGTTTAAAAAAAAGTTAACGTACAGCCCTGATGATAATAGCCTATAATTATATTTTTTTAATATTTTAATATGCAATAGTTTTAATAATTGTTAATTATTTTACTTTAAAAATGTATAATATATATATGAAGAGTTCAGATGCAAAAGCCTCTAAATGCCATTTGAAATTTTCTGCTTTAATGATGATTTTTATCAAACTTGTATATTTAAGTTCAGTAATTTCACTTAAATAACAAGTAATAGGTAATTATTATTGCCATTTAAGTGAAATTACTGAACTTAAATATACAAGTTTGATAAAAATCATCATTAAAGAAGAAAATTTCAAATGGCATTTAGAGGCTTTTGCATCTGAACTCTTCATATATATATATTATGTTACAACAATATTATAGCAATATTATAGCAATGTTATATATATAATATTATATTTTACGGTACATGTTACAACAATATTATAGTAGTGTTTGAAAAACAGTTAACATACAGCCCTGATAATAATAGCCTATAATTATATTTTTTATATTTTAATATGTAATAGTTTTAATAATTGTTAATTATTTTACTTTAAAAATGTATAATATATATATATATATATATATATATATATATATATTATGTTACAACAATATTATAGCAATATTATATATATAATATTATATTATACGGTATATGTTACAACAATATTATAGCAGTGTTTAAAAAACGGTTAACATACAGCCCTGATAATGATAGCCTATATTTATATTTTTTATATTTTAATATGTAATAGTTTTAATAATTATTAACTATTTTACTTTAAAAATGTATAATATATATGAAGAGTTTAGATGCAAAAGCCTCTAAGTGCCATTTGAAATTTTCTTCTTTAATGATGATTTTTATCAAACTTGTATATTTAAGTTCAGTGATTTCACTTAAATGGCAATGATGATTACCTATTAATTGTTATTTAAGTGAAATTACTGAACTTAAATATACAAGCTTGATAAAAATCATCATTAAAGAAGAAAATTTCAAATGGCATTTAGAGGCTTTTGCATCTGAACTCTTCATATATATATATATATGAAGAGTTCAGATGCAAAAGCCTCTAAGTGCCATTTGAAATTTTCTTCTAAAATGATCATTTTTATCAAGCTTATATATTTAAGTTCAGTAATTTCACTTAAATGACAATGAAGATTACCTATGAATTGTAATTTAAGTGAAATTACTGAACTTGAATATATAAGCTTGATAAAAATGATCATTCTAGAAGAAAATTTCAAATGGCACTTAGAGGTTTTTGCATCTGAACTCTTCATATATATATATATATATATATTAGGGCTGTGCAAAAGTTAATTGCGATTAATCGCATCCAAAATAAAAGTCTGTTTTACATAATATATTTGAGTGTGCTGTATATAATTATTTTGTATATATAAATACCTATGCATGCATGTATATATTTAAGAATTATTTGCGCTTAAATTCTGCATATATATATATAACACATAATCTATATTATATAAATATAAATATTTTATATAGGAATAACACATTTTCTTAAACATAGACATGCATGTGTGTGTATTTATATATACAAAATAATTATATACAGCACACACAAATATACTATGTAAACACAGACTTTTATTTTGGATGCGATTAATCGCAATTAACTTTTGCACAGCCCTAATATATATATATATTATGTTACAACAATATTATAGCAGTGTTCAAAAAACAGTTAACATACAGCCCTGATAATAATAGCCTATAATTATATTTTAATATGTAATAGTTTTAATAATGATTAATTATTTTACTTTAAAAATGAATAATATATATATATATAATATGTTACATCAATATTATAGCAATATTATAGCAATATTATATATATAATATTATATTATACGGTACATGTTACAACAATATTATAGCAGTGTTTAAAAAACGGTTAACATACAGCCCTGATAATAATAGCCTATAATTATATTTTTTATATTTTAATATGTAATAGTTTTAATAATTATTAATTATTTCACTTTAAAATGTATAATATATATATATATATATATATATATATATATATATATATATATATATATATATATAAACTATATTTATAATTTGAATAGTTTTTCATTTATTTCATTTATTTTATAATTTTTTATATAAGAAAATCAAAATCTTTATTTTGTAAGAGCAACAAAGAGGAGCTGCTAGATAATGAACTATTATAGAGCCAAGCATAACTAGAAAAAAACATAACCATAAATAGAAATTTCCATGAACCTCCCTGGCCTGGAATCACAATACCTGACATTCCTACGTTTTAAATGAGCGTTGGTCTATAGATGTGCATTTTATAGTGCAAATTTAATGTAGTCTCTAAAAAAATGTTTGATCTTACTTTGAGGATGAAGTCTGGCGGTGTACCAGGCCGAACTGTAGGTCTGAGGACTCCATCGTGATGCGAATGGATCAATGTCTCGTCAAGATCTAAAACTAGGATCTTTCGCTTCACGGTGTCTGAACATGAACACAAACACGTATTGACAGGTCAGTAAACGTACATGAAAAGACTTCACACAAACACAACACTGTCTCAATTCAACTGTCTCAAAGACAAAGTACACTCAGATTGGGCATGATAAATCTCACCGGCAGCATTGTGTTGTGATAATAATAACGTCTAACTTGAGCAGAAGAAAAGATATACTCACTGAGTCGGTTTCTGGAAATGGGGGACAATGCTAAAATGTCATATCGCACTGTTTGATACTGGATTATCTACAACAGGAAGAAGACAAAACAGGAAACAGCCACCTCAGTACAGCACAGTGCATGACACATTGCAGCAGAGGACATTGTGTGCACAGTCTGCACACCTTTTACAGTTTATTTAGCAAGATATAATATCTAGGCCAACATTTATTAACTCAGAACTTTTCAGAACTCAAAAGTAAATAAAGACCATTTAATAATCAATCACATGAAAGCACAATAAAAAAAAGCAGATGGCTTTACCGGTACATTATCCAGAATTATTTTTTTTTTTAAAGTACAGTAAATTTACTAATACAGGAGTATCTATCCATCCATTCATTCAATATTTATTTATCTCTCTCTCTCTCTCATATTTTCTCTTTTATTCCCCCCCATTCAACATGTTAATGCCATGTACTTAATTTTTTTATGACATTTTTTTAATTATTTATGTTTATATTTATTTTATTTATAAAAAGCAATATTTAATTAACCTGTTAACTGTCACCCCCCCCCCCCCCTTTTTTTTGAATAGACATGAAAATGCACATTTCGAACTTAAAACATTACAACTAAGAATACGCATTAGGCCGCTTCTGCTCTTCATATTCAAGATTGGCAAACAAAAATAATAATAAAATAGATTGATCATTAAAATTTACTATAGAAATCTCTCCATGCCTAATATGTTATTAAAAAAATGTCTAGGCCCAGAAATCGACAATTTAGCCATTAATACAGGGGTTTTCGTGACCATGAGAACCCTAAATTAATCAAAATTAACTTAAGAGGTGTCCTGGACTTGCCTCATTTAAAAACTTCAATTAGCTTACACAAGTATGCAACCTTCAGGAATTGAACTGAGCTCAAAGTCAGATCACTGTCTCTTTAAGAGGTCCGAGACCCTCTGCTTCAGTCCAGCACTCACCACAATGTGGATACTCTTCCTCTCTTTCTCCAAATCCCTCTCTTCTGAGCTATCTTTAGCTCTCCCAGCTGTCTAAAAGTGTCAGAGTAACTTCGGAGAGAACAGCCAAGCGAAACTGCCAGGGTGACTTTGAAAAGGGGGCTGTTTATTCCCAACTTGCATTAGGCCTCAATAAGGACTCATTCATAATATCAGGTCAAGTTGAACCGACCCGATGGTTGCATGAGAAGTGTCCGCTACTCCGGCAGCCGTATCAGAGTCCCAGACGAGTAATACTTCTATAATTGCGTCTTAATGATCATCTTAAAGATTATTATACAACTGGCTCGCCAAAGCCTGTTGTGCACAAGGGGATTAGAGCCTGTTTTCCTAGCCAAAGTGTTTACATACGCTGAGCTAAAGCATGTGACTCGTTTATCAGCTACTTTTGTAAAAACCTACTGATTATTAATATTGTTATAAATTATGAGTCCTCTATTTTTATAAATATTATTAAAAATTGTTTTTGATTTATGCATCTAACCCTGATCATTATTGCTTTAGGCTCACAGTAAAATATCATATACATGTTACTAGTCTCTTAAACTTATTTTAATTTGCTTTTTAATGGGTTGTTTGACTATTTATATTTTATTTAAGCTTTGAATTGACAACATTTTGTTTTCATTAGTTTTATTAAAAACAATAACACTGGTTGCAAAGTTATAAAGTCTTACTTTGCACTTATCTCCCCTAATCATTACTGCTTTAGACGCATAGGGAAACGTAATAATTTCATGAAGAAAAATAACTAATTTTGGTGTCAAGTCTTATTTTACACTAATGGTACAAGTTCGGCTGTTTATTAACGCTTTAGCCCACAGTAAAGTGTCACGTAATTACCAATTTAAGAAGTTGACAAATCTGCTGTCATTAGTTTGTATGGATGTCAGTGTGTTTAATGGAATCATAACACGTTATTCTTCATAACCAGCAAACAAGTTATGCAGTTACCAACTAAATAAACTGTCTTAATGGACATGTGTGTCTCTCTAATGAATCACAGACCACTTGCACTGAATAAACATGGGTAACACTTTATTTTAATGCGTCTCTTTTACTGTGTAATTACACATATAGTAATTAACTACAAGTACTTACTATAGGGTTAGGATTAGCTGCATGTAATTATGCCTATTTAATAGTTACTATAGTAAATACACGTAACGTGTAACAAGGACACATTGAAATAGTGTTACCTAAACATGACATAAAAAGCCATTGGCTACTTTATTAACATCTAGAAGATAGAGAATGATTTACAAACCTATGTTTCCATCCAGGTGTCTGTTTTCCCTCCAGACACCTGCGTGAAAGTTAAGTGCCAGCCAGGTCATGAAACAAAAGTTGCTCATACATGAAAAGGACACTCACCGTTCGTATGTGCTTCCTGAGGATGTATAAAAAGAAGCTCCACAGCCTGGATGTCACGCCGAGGAAAGTGCGCACACCGAGCAGACATTGGCGGGTCTTTAGCATGTCAACCATAACACCAGAGTCCGTGAGGTGTGATTTACACCGCTGACAAGAGCAACACAACACACCTGTGGAAATAAGATCCTGCCAACCATTCACAACTTCACACCTCACGCGTCTTGATGGGATTCAAACAAACGAGTGGAGGGTGCTAAAGTGCAGCGTTTACAAAAAAGTGCGTGGGTTATATATATATATAAATATCACTTGGTGAATGTCTTTATCTTTAGAGAGGTAGTTGCTCTGTCCGGCTCCTTCAAATGCTCGCTGGCTAAGATGGTCAAACAAACTGGAGTGTCGAACAAATGTCTCCGTTCTGCCAAAAGCCGCGAGAAGTGTGATTGTCCATCTGCTGCAACATTAAAACCAAAATGTGGATTCCGCTTCTTTTTGATAATCTTCGAGAAAGCGAAAAGAAAAAGCGTACGATTTCTTAGCGCCGAGAACAGTTTAAAGCCAATACGGTAGAGCAACACGGGCCGCCATCGCTCCCCTGACGTCACTTCCGCGAAGAGACAAAGTTTGTGCTCACGTGGCCGCGGCGTTTTTCAAAAATACTTTTTTGAGTTCCCATTCAGTGTTCACCAGCGAGAATTCAAACCGTAGGAAGCTTCCACAATTTCCTGTCATTTAATTTATTTCACTGATGGTAGTGGTGAAGTAAAAAACAAGTCCTTATTTTTTTGTGATATTAAATTATTGAATTTCCTCACCAAAATATTATTTCAGAAGTCACCATGAAATCAAAATGTAACATTCTTTTCAAAATATTGGAGTATATATTATAAATAATCCATGCACATCCATTTTTTTATTCTGACATCTACTGGTGCGAGCCGAGGGCGGGACAACCTGTCACTCACATGAGATCGACCAATAGCAAACCAGAACAATCCAACAACCCATTCAAGCCCCTGCCAATGTTATTTTCTTGTTCGAGAAGCCGTTTCATGTTGAATTTAACCTTCAAATGGTCTGTTTACAATTCTGGGCTTCGGGGTACCACCCCAACAATTGTACAAAAAATATATAATTTTTTTTTGTTTACTTCTCATCTATTCATTAATGCTGTGTTTTTGGAGATATAAAGTACTTTTGTATCCACAATTCCTCATCTACACCATTAGCTTGCATATGAAATATAATTTTTTTATGATACATTACATTTATGCTCTAGTACTATAGGCCTTCATTTCTGTGTACAAATTTTCAGATTTATGCTGGATTTATTATTTATTTATTTGACACATGAAGAAAATATACATTTAGCTTTTTTCACATTTCCCAATTATTTCAATGTGGGGTCATATTGACCCCGAGGACCATAAGCGAAGACATTTTTTTTACTTACCTTCTGAACAACCAAATAAAGCCCAGTTTTGTGTGTGTGTGTGTGTGTGTGTGTGTATAGACCATTTCACAAGATGTAAACAACACTGGTCCAGAAGCACTTCCTGTTTCAGTTTTTTAACACTACATAAAAGCTGGGATAAAATACAACCAACAGAACACTTAAACCTGAATCAAAAAGTTAAACAAACATCTTTAAGATGTTTTCTTTACATGTGAAATAAAGAAAACAGTTACAAACTGAAACAGGAAGTGTTTCTGGACCAGTGTTGTTTACATCTTGTGAAATGGTCTATAGATAGATAATGTATGAAAAGTCACAAAATCTTTTTTCCACTGAGATGAAGGGATCTTTTTTTTTGTTACGTAAAAGTCATTGACGTCGTATAGACCCCATGACCCGATTGAGGGCTACGCATGTTACATTGTTACTCCAGTAGTTGGAGACAAGCAAGTGTCACTAACTTTATTGATTTGTTATATTTCGTCAGGCACAAAACACCCAATGTCTATTGTCAGTGTAACAATCTATGAATCACAGCTCATTCACAAACCACTTTCCAAACAAGCAGCTGTCTGTTGGTTTACTCACACATCAGATCCAGTAAACGGAAACTCAAACATGCTCACTTGACGCAATAACCAAAGGTTCATTCTCATGTTAAACAGCACATTTGAACTTCCCCAAAAACCAACAAGGTTTATTCTTGCAAGTCAAATAGATTCGGTTGAGCTTCTGTTTATGTTCGCTGATCAATGTTTAAATGTGAATAAAAGCTTAAATTGAATCTGTTCATCATATAAAGCAATCGTGTTTCTTCAGAAAATTTGGACTTAACCACTAAATCCATATGGATTCGTTTACAATCTCTTTATGACCTTTTTAAAGCTTCAAAGTGGTAGTTGCGTAGCTGTCAATGAAGAGACAGAAAGATCTCAGATTTCATCAAAAAGATATTCATTTGTGTTCAGAAGGTGAACTAAAGTCTTGTGTTTGGAATGACATGAGTCATTAATGAAATAATTTTCATTTTAGGGGGAAAAAACCTTTAATAACGCTGGTCAACAAAGATTAAATCAAAAATGTGTACAATTTGTATGCATGTTCGACTTTCAATGTAATTTTATGGATAATTGACTGTATTTTATTTTGTTTGGAGCATGTCTGAGGTCACATGGCACAAAGTTTGGGTATTGTCCCATGAGCTTTGTTCAAGATCTCCACCAAAAAGTGAAAAGCTGCAAGTCTACAACACATATATAAAACCAGAATGATATAAAGTGTACAAAATGAGATAAGAAATGTGTCAAGCATAATCATAATTGGGTAGTTATGCTTAAATATGATCAAATCAGTGCTTGAAAATAAGTGCTTTTTATCCACAAATACAAAAACTGCATAACATTACTAAGAAGTTCATCAATTATGTCAAAATAAAATCCTCAAACCTGGCCTTGTAATAGCTGAGAACAGACTGACTATTTGATTCATAATTAAATAAAGAATCATAAATAAATAATTTATAAAGATGGAGTTGACATTCCCAGATTTAGGACATGATGTGTCTTCATTCACACATCAAGATCATCATCTGGATCCTCCTCATCAAAGTCATCGTTAGCATCAGGCTCGTACATGATCCGTCCCGAGCCAAGAGTCGGCCTCAGAAGAGCTGATTTTCTGGAGGAGGGGGGGATGGGCAGCATGAAAGGCTGAACTTCTCAGACATCAAAATTGTTCAGATTACAGTTTCCTTGTTACATATTTTACATGTATCAATATAACAGTAAATTATGCATAATTACATAACTAACTAACCCTAAACCAAACCGTACTTTAACCCTACAGTAAGTACATGTTGTTAACTAAAATGTATAGTCAAACTATAACAAGAGATCCTTAAAATAAAGTGTAACCCAGACTTTTTGTTTTTAATAAATAATTAATCGATTTGTTTTACAAACAGTATTTTTGAAACTGTACACTAAAATTACGAAAAATTGTTTTTGTTCATTGAAATAAAGTTGAAATATAAATACTAGATGGAAAAAAAAAACCAATGGAAATGATAAAAGTAACTAATACAAAAATTTAAGTGTAAAAATGCTAAAGCTGAAATATATTTGAATCAAACCTAATTAGAAAAATACAAAAATAATATAAAATAAAATTACTAAAACTTTAAACTGAAAACATAAAAATAAAATAATTCAAAATATTAATGAATGGTATATAAATTATACCAAAGTATATATATATATATATATATATATATATATATATATATATATACCCGACCGATAAAGGATTTTGAAGTCCGATACCGATACAAATATTTATTGGTTTTAAAATCCGATATTCCGATATATCGGCCGATATTTTTTTCTTAATTATTATTTCAGAAACACGCACATTTTCAATATAACAGGCCAAGGAGAGATGATACGTCTCATTGCTATAACTGTCACGCGCTATTAAAGAAATACTTCAGTCACATTGTCAAAAGTTAAAAGGACTACAATGTAACAACATAATGTAACTATTACTAGCTAATTCCGCTTCATTCTCGGCTTATTTAAGAGCAGCAAAACTGGACATGATAGTCACAAATTTTGTTAAAATATTCAGCATCAATATATGATACAAAATATTTATTTATCGGCCATTATACAGATAATTTGGAAAATGCCTAATATATATATATCGATATATCGGTCTGGCTCTAATATATATATATATATATATATATATATATATATATATATAGAACGGTTGAATATTAGACAGTGCACTTATATATCTATAAATGGGAAAAACTTAAGATATTTACTGCAGCTGCTGTTAGAAGCTCAGATTTAGAAACAGTCAGTGTTCTGAGACGAGCGCTTAGGACTGCATATGCACATTTGCTGGCACATCCGTAAAAATGCAATTTTTTGTCATGATTTAAGCTTTTAGAAACAACATTTTTGGCTGTTTATATACACAACAGCAGCGTTTTGGGGGTTTGAAACGCAAACTTTTCAAAACAGGTTTCAAAGTGTATGTTTTTTGAAAAAAATACTGGTATCATCTTTGTGTAAGCCCAAAGAGAAGGACATGAATAGTTTAAATAAAGTCGTTATTTTTGTTTGTTTGTTTTTGCTCACAAAAAGTGTTCTCGTCATTTGATAAAGTTAAAATTGAGTAGGATACACTGTAGTCACTTGGACTATTTTAACGATGTCTTTAATAACTTTCGGGGCTGTCAAGTTTCAATCCCTCAAGAAGCCTATGGACAAGTATGGAGGAGTGATCCAGCTCTCAGATTTCATCAAAAATATCTTAATTCGTGTTCTGAAGATGAAAGAAAGTCTTACGGGGTTGGAACAACATGAGGGTGAGTAAATACTCACAGAATTTTCATTTTTGGGTGAACTATCCCTTTAAATATCATTATGACTTTTTATTAAAGCCAAAATGGTGTTTAGCTTTTCAGTCATTGACAACCAATTAAACATTCACCATGCATTCTAGATAGTCAGCTTGCTGACAATTCTAGAATAATGGTCAAAAACAGGCTATTTTGTTATACAGGGATATTTAAAGGGATAGTTCACCCAAAAATTACAGTAGTCACATTCAAATCAAGACTCAAAACACATCTGTTTAGCTGTGCATTTACTGAATGAGGACTGTGCCACTGTTCGTCCGACTGTTACTGCACTTCATTTTATTCTAAATAGTTTTAATTTACTGTATTTTATTTTTATCATAATTTTTATTTTTCATTATTTCTTATTTTTTATTCTAAACTGTTTTAATTATTCTGATTTATTTTGATTATTTTAATTTCTTCTATGTAAAGCACTTTGAATTGCCATTGTGTATAAAATGTGCTATATAAATAAACTTGCCTTGCCTTGCCTTACAGTAGGCTTCAAATGATTATTCATAGATGTATATATGCACTAATAATAAGACAAAGTTATATAGCTGACTGTTGTGGTGATAACTAATAAAGAATAGCAGTCAGAGCAGCAATCATTCTCCCCTCAGCCATGTTTAAAGTGTATGGCCCGCCCAAATCTGGGGTATGGACTGTGTGCACGTTAGCATATGCTAGTTCCGGCTGCGAAACCGATATGGGGTGTCTAGTTTCCGGTAGCCTGATGGACGACGTA